AACCTATTACAAGGATCTACATATAACCTCCTCCCTGGGGGATGGACAACAGAAAAGTGGGTGAAGGGAGACATTGGACAGTGTAAGATATGACAGAATAGCAATAACTTACAAATTATCAAGGGTTCATGAGGGAAGGGGGGAGCGGGGAGGGAGGGGAAAAATGAGCTGATACCAAGGGCTCAAGTAGAAAGCAAATGTTTCGAGAATGATGAGGTGAACGAATGTACAAATGTGCTTGACACAATGGATGTATGTATGGATTATGATGAGTTGCATGAGCCCCCAATAAAATGATTTAAAAAAAAAGGACTTTGCCTCTGTGATCCAAGAGAGAAGGATCTATTAATTTCTTGCAAAGCTCTTAGCTGACTTTGGAATCACCAGTCTCACAAGATAGGTGAGAAACTTAGCTCCTTTCCTATTTTCTAGAATAATTCAGGTAAGGAAGAAATCACCCTTTAAAAATATCTATTCCTGGATTATTTTGATAATAATTTAAATTTGATAATAATTTAAATTTAAAATAATTTAAATTTGATCAATTTAAGTCTTTTAAAAATCATTTTACAAGTTATTGTTATTCCCTCCACTAATTATCTTTTTTACAAAGCTTTGTGACACTTTCTTCTACCCGAAACTTCATTTGATTCAGTCTGGTATCCAATTTGCTGGACTCAAAGAGCAAAGCCTTTCTGGTCTTCATGGAGATTTCAGAGAACCTACGAAAAAGCTGTGCTCATTTCCCCAAACTCTGAAATCATCCTCTGAGTCTTCCTGAAGGACATCTCAAGAATTGTTTGGAATTATGATACTCCTTCAATGAGAGCCCGATTCAAAGAATCAGGAAGTAACGAGTGTTGGAGGGGTTGGGGTGAGACAGGAACTCTAGGTCCACTGCTGGTGGACCTGTAGGTATGTATAGCCATTATGGAAATCGACTGGGTGCTATCTAAAACAGATGGAAATCGAGCTACCTTAAGACCCCGCAAAAAAAAGTTCAGCTATATAAAGGGTACAGAGTGGGAGGGGTACAGTTGGTGCTGGTTTTTACTAAGGTATCAGGCTGTGATGCACCTGGAAATTAAAAACTCATTCTTTACCAATAGCAATTTAAGACGCCCTGTCCTTGAGGACCACGCACAGAACATTGTAAGACCGAATTCAGCAAACACTTGCTAAAATGCACAAGGCTACAAGCTCCCTTGGAGTTCACCAGCCAATCCGAAGTCAGAGAAGACGCACCTGAGTCTGCGGACGACGACTGGGCGGGCCCTAACGTGGGGCGTGGCGTTTTCGCGGCGCTCCACTCTGGGGGCGGAGCCGGCGCGGGCTCCCACCCCATTTCATTTCCGGCGCTCTGGCCCACACACGCGGTTCTCTGTGGCTTCTCGGGGTCCCTCTGGCTGCACTCTGGAGGACCGCACTCGTTTCCTTTTCGGCGGCGGGAGGCCCCGCAGCCGCGGCTGAGCTGGAAGAAAGATGGCGGCGGCGGTGCGGCAGGACTTGGCCCAGCTCATGAATTCGAGCGGCTCTCATAAAGATCTGGCGGGCAAGTGAGTGTTTCCTCGGGGCACGGGAGCAGAGAGGTGGGGAGGGGAACTGGATTTGTTCTCCTGGGCTGACGGCGGCTGTCGGGTGGGAGGCTGGGAGCGGGCCTGGAGACCGAGGGGGCGGGCCTGAGGTCGATTGGGGAGGCAAATGTTGGGAGCCGCGCAGAGCTGCCGGAACCCTGTGCCGGAGCCCTCGTGGCCGTGGCCCTGAGAGGACCTAACTTGTTCAGCCCTTGGAAGCATCCCCACATCGAGGTCCCAACACCCCGCTTGCTGAAGCACTGCTTCTAAGGCCTCTCAGCGTCACCTCTTCGCTGACCGGCCTCTCACTCGATTCTGGCTTCTCTTTGAGGACTTCCCCCGACCTCCTTTTAATTTTTTACTTAAGGGAAATTCGTATTGTGGGACTCTGCGGAAGAGTTTCCCGGATAGAGAAGGCTTCTCTGGGTTGACTGGGATTGAGGAGGTATGGCCGCTGTCATGTCCAGAACCACTCGGAATATCTGTGGATTCTTGGCTTTTGGGTACTCTCCCTGCCACCAGTTCTGAAGAAGAGAGTATATTTTTGTCACACAGGCGGGGTGGTCTCATAACGTGGGACATGTTGTCCAGTGTAGTGCGATCCTTGCAGGAATCGGGGTGGTTAGGAATTTGGTTGGCATTCCTGTGGAAGACTTTGGGCCACTCCAAGGTAAAAATTAAAACTGGTGACCTGTGTGTGCCCCTCACTGCC